GACAGAGGTTCTAGTTCCCACAGTGGTTTGGGATGTCCAAGGTACCCTTTTCCCACCACCCTCTGACACAAGAGGGGTGTCCATTTCAATGGGTCCTTCCAGTGGCTGCTCTCCCTGAACCCTGGTGCTGAAACTCAGCTATCACCACACTGAGGAGGATAGGCATTGGCCTCCTCCCTGGGCCGATCTCCGGGAAGAAGCACATAGGTCTAGGAGCACATGGGTATCTGCTGATACACACATAGGTCCCTGCTCTGGGGCTGTGCCAGTACTGAGAGGACGTGGATGCTGCATCTTCTTCAGGGAACACAAGACCCAGTCTCCAGTCCCAGGCTTCATTGAGTGAAAGTTCCTTCTTGAGTCTCTGAGGAGGGACCACAGTCTAGTCCCACAGGACTCCATGCTAGTCACGTATGTGTGCTAGAGCACACATATCACAAGGCCCAAAATCCTGAGAGCCCAGCTGGTTTCTGCAACTCACCAGGTCCCTGTCTATACATACATAACCATGGTCTGATTTCAAGTACAGGTTTCTTCTGCAAACTGACAATTGAACATTCCTATGAATCCTTTCATATTTTTACATGGCATCATGTGAGGAAATATTTGCAACCTATTTATTTGATTTATCTGATTTATTTGATTTTTAAAAATGTTTCAAGACCTAAAATATAACCTCTCATTTGTTTTTCTGATACAGAAGGAAACATATTTCTAGGTGCAGAAAGTAAATGGAGATAAAGCACAGATAATCACGGAGAGTTCAAATATCTAGCATTTTGATGTTATGGTGGTGAGTGAAGTTCTTTTTTTTTTTTTTTTCATTTTCCATTATGTTCAGTTAGGCAACATGCAGTACATCATAAGGTTTTCTTGTAGTGTTCAACAATTCATTAGTTACATGTGACACCCAGTGCTCATCCCACTACAGGCCCTCACTATATCCATCTCTCAATCACCCCATCCTCCCACCCGCTCCCTTGTGTAAGTGAACACTTTCAATGGAATAGTAACCATACTAATATTAAATTATGGAATTTATTCCAAGAAATCACACATAGAAAATAAAGAAAAGATAGCATGTGCTTCATACTCTAAAGTAAGAATGACTGTATCTGAAAACACTTGTGTGAACATTTGTGTAAATGCTATAAAATTTCCTTCCTTGTGCAGTCACTGTGGAGCAGAAAGAACTAGAAAGGTGCTTGTGGATGTGACGGTGGATTTGGGAGCAACATACAATTTCTAGAGTAACAGGTGAAAGAGAAGCCACAAATTTGGAGTTCATTCCATTATTCAATAAAAAGGTGATTGAATGTTCATTTCTGAATTCTAAGAAAATGGTTTTTACTTAATGGTTTTTACTAAGTTTTCATGATAATTTTTTCACATTATTATCACCTGTGTTCAGGACTTAAATGACATCAGACATAAATATTCATATTAAATTCAATGATATCGGTGAATCAGCATTATTCCTGGAAAAATAGTTCATGTGTAATTATATGTATGAACTTTTGAGACAGAGAGGACCTAACACTTAAGCTGAAAGGAAACACTTAGAAAGAATAATGAACACATATGACAATGTATGTATTTGTTCTCATCCATCACTAAAGACGATAAAACCAATTAGAAGTGACAGAATAGTCATAAATACCATCTATGGATATTGCACCTAAGGAAGCTGGATATATTGTGCCTTTCATCAGGGATAAGCAGAGATGCCATAAGTTCCAAAAGGAACCCTGGGCACTAGAGGGAGCCCTGAAACAACACTGCAGGTTATCCCAGTCATTCTCATGTTTGGATCTGCATTACTGAATTACTGTCCCTGAAGATTGTTTAATGAGTAAGTAGAAACCAAGGCAGAATGAGGAAAGTGGGAAGCTGGATGAGGAGGAACCAGGAGCCCCTCACAACGAGAAGCACAGACAGCAGCTGTCCAGGTTTTCCATGCTGATGCTGCTTGATGGAAGCCAAGAGCTTTCCTTGTGTTGGGCTCTCAATCCCTGAAGGACATGCCCATGCACTCCTTGTGTCCTGGGTTAGTGTAACAGGGACTCCCAAGGCAATGTGTGCAGTGAGTGAGCCTCCCCCCAACTTTCTCAGAGAATGAGAGCTGAGGGCTCAGGGTCTCCCTCATTCATTGGTGCAGCTGACTTACTGTGCTTACTACTTAACTCACATCTGCTGTCCCTGCATATTCATGACCTCAAGGTCTTTTCACTAGTGTCCTCATAGAACACCTTAACTATGGATTGAGATTTGTGAAGGGCAGAGAAATCCTGGCCATGCTGAAGCCCCCAGACTCTGCTTGCAGAGGACAAGTATCTGAAAATCTGTCACTGCCATCTGCAGGTGTCATTGACCTTATTTCCATTTGCCTCCATAGGTCTGGTATCTTCATACATTTCTGTGTCTGTGTTTGACTGTCCATCGTTCCTGCTTGGACGTAGGCCAGGATGACAACTCATGGTGATGGAGGATGAAACTTGATATACTGGTGTGAGTCAATATTGAGTACTCATGTGGTTTCTGGGGACCCAATATGCAAAAAAGTCTCACTTCACTGGGGACAATGTCTTATTTCACTTGGTCAAATATGCAACACTCAATAGACTATTTTCCTAGTTGCCTCAGCCAGAGCCCTGTCCCTTCTGGACAAGCTCAGCAGTGACAATTGTTGGCCTCAGAACTCCCCTGACACCTGGACCATCCTGATTTCAGATGGATTTTTTTGATGGTACTGTCCAGGTGCATAGAATGAGTACGTCACCTACATGGTGATTGGGACAGAGACATTATTTTTTTTTCAGTTCATTAATGAACTCCTGAAAGCTAAACACAGAACCTAACTGTACAGTGATTATGTTACCAGATATTCAGGATTACCTGGCATTTGGACTTATTCAGCCCTGTGCCAGGACCATTATAATTCCATGACCAGCTTAAACTGTTCCTTAAGGTTAAGGTTTTATCTTCCCCCATAGTTCCTGCATATTAATAACTGGAACTGAATGGATTCCTTTTATATGGTGTCTCATTGTGTTGTTTCTCCTGTTGGTGTAAGGGTTCGCAGTTAGGTTACCCCAGGCCACATTCTACCATATGGGACATTTGATGATTGTATTGGTCATGATACTATAAAGTTGTTGGGAAAACTCTTTGAATCATTCTTACCTCTCTTGGTTTCCATTTGTCCTTTAAGCCTGGAAATTCCTTATTTTATTTTGCTTCCCTGATATATTTAACATATTTTACTGAATTTTATAATTGTTCTTAGTGAGACAATTGATATAAAAATATCATTGCTGTAGTGGAACTTCTTCTGAATTAGAAGTCCTCCTTCTACTTCTGTACTGATGAACCTCATGACCTGTTACCCAAAAGCAAAGGGTCTGATCAAATTTTTTTGTGAGCTCCATGGATCATCACTTAGAAAACAGAACTATCTAGAACTTTTCCTATAATAAAAAGTTTGTCTGATAATGGGATTTGGGTTTACTAAATCTAGACCTGGAATAATAGATTTATTTTACATCCTTCCAATGAAAGAACCCGAGATAGAAAAATATGTGAACTCTGGGATTAAACAGAGAGAAGTGATGAGCATGCCTGAGGGCCCTGTCCTCAAAAGTGGAAGGATCATCTCCTGCCCCAGAGTATGCCTATGATCCCCAGGGTATCATTGAAATAGAGAAACACAGGCTGGCTAGTTTCAGAGACAGTAAATGATCAGCAAATCCTGGAAAAGGACCAAGGGACATATAGGGAGCTTGGCAGAGGGGACTTGGGTCTCTCGGGTTACAGTCCCATATTATTGTTTTCCTAACCACTCCCACCCAACAAGTGTGGGGAATAATTTTGGTTCTGGAAACAAAATGAGTTTGCTTAGACTGGGACACAATAAGAAGAGAGTTATTTTCTTTCTTTTTTTTTAAGATTTTATTTATTTGAGAAAGAGAGAGAGAGAGAAAACATTATGGGAGGGGTGAAGAAGGAGAGGAAGAAGTAGAAACTCCCTGAGCAGAGAGCCTGTTGCTGAGTTTGATCACAGAGCTGCAGGATTATGACCTAAGCCTAATGCAGATGCTAAACAAACTGTATAATCTAGGCATCTTTTTTAATTAAAGATTTTATCTATTTATTTGACAGACAGAGAGGGCACAAAGTAGACAATGAGGCAGGCAGAGAGAGAGGGTCAAGCAGGCTCCCTACTGAGCAGAGAGCCCAATGTGGGGCTTTAACCCAGGACCCTGAGATCATGACCTGAGCTGAAGGCAGAGGCTCAACACACTGAGCCACCTAGGCGCCACCCCCACCCCCCCGATCTAGGCATCTTTTTTTTAAGATTTTTAAATTGTTTATTTGACAAACAGAGATTGCAAGTAGGCAGAGAGGCAGGCGGATAGATAGAGGAGGAGGAATCAGGCTCCCTGTTAAGCAGAAAGCCCAACGTGGGGTTCGATCCCAGGACCCTGGGATCCTGACATGAGCCAAAGGCAGAGGCTTTAATCCACTGAGCCACCCAGCCATCCCCATCTAGGCATCTTGAAAGTAAGTTATTTTCATTGAGCTCATAAGATAAACAGAATAAAGTATGTGGAGTTTTCTGGTTTCTGAAGCACAAGTGACACCAGAGAAGCAGAGCTGATGTTGGTCACAGACAAGGATGGGGGAAGATGGGTCAGAGCATCTGATTGGGGGCAGATGTGGAAGGGTAGCTCCTGGTGGCAGTGGGGCTGTGCTCACCTCTGTCATGGTGAGAGTCGTCTCATCCTCAGTCTGCAATCAGGGGTGATCAAAGAGATCATGTTGATAAATCAGAAACAGGAACATTTGCTGTGACTCCTGAAGACACATCACTGCTGGACTAGCTCACAGACATAGGGGCTTTGCCAGGGAGACCTTGTTACCCGCCATCATGGTAATCTTCAATGTTTCTGCTGTACTCTGTGTGACAAAGGTGAACTCCTTATTGGACCCCATTGAGAGCTTCAGAGGGCATGATGCTTCATATTGTTGGGGGGTTTTGATACTCCATAATGCTGGCTGACACCCTGAGGGCTTAAAAGCTCCTACAGAGTAGAAAAGGAGAAGAGAACACACATCACTTCCCATGGGCTTTGGAAACCCACCTATGGGAGTTCATGTGGGTTGAGTGGTGTCACCTGTGGGAAGTCATTTTGGCACTCAGGGGTTTCCTAGAAATGCTGGATTCTCCCCCTCTCTCCTTCCCCAGATCTGAATATATTTTTGCCAGCCTCATTTAACAGATGTTCTTCATGCCTGACCCCCATATCCTTGACATGACAGTGAAAGACACAGATTCCACATCAGTGATCCAGGTCAACTCTGGTCCTTGTCTTCTCCCAGGAATGCATTGGCCATCTTCCTGCCTCATATCAGGAGCACAGTGCATGTCAGCCAGCCCCTCAGATGGGGAAGGGAAGGAAGCTCTCTCAGTAACATCAGGAGAAGAAGCCGTGTGTATAGGACTGTCCACCTGCTGGGATCAGGCACGTCTTCTGAACAAGGAAGCTAGTAGAGTTCTTTGCTTCTTTTACTGGTATAAGTTCAGTTTTGCTGTGATTTAGCTTGTTTCTCCTCCTCCTCCTCCTCCTCCTCCTCCTCCTCCTCCTTCTCCTCCTTCTCATTCTTCTTCTTCCTATTCTTCTACATTTTGCCTAAGTCTAAAGATTCATTGATGGAAAATTGACAGAGGATTCCAGGGCCTTGAAGAAGCTTCTGGGCAGGATCTTGTGGTTGTTTCCACAGCTACTCCCTCCACACCCTCTTGGGTCCCTTTCAGACCAGGTCAGTGCTTTTGTTCTACTTACCATTATGCCAGTGTCACTGTGAGAAGCACCAGTATTTCTAACAACACAGTAATAGTCAGCCTTGTCCTCAGACTGCAGACCAGAGATGATCAGAAGCCCTGAATTGGCCGTGGCATCTTTGGAGCCAGAGAAGCAGCTGGGAACCCTAGGACCCTGATGTTTTTCTGAGACTAAGTAGAAGCTCAGGAGATGTTGGGGAGGTTTTCCTGGCATTTGTTGGTACCAGCCTATGACATATCTCCCAACACTGAACCCACTGCTCAGGGTCTCGGTGAATCTGCCTCTTATTCCCAGAGATTTCAAGAGGGATGGTGGCTGGGTTAGTGAAGACTGTGAAAGGGAACCTGCAAACACAGAAACTCATGGGTTATGGGGTGTTAACATTGAGGGTTTCTCAGTCTTAAGGGCTGATAATACCTGGGAAGATCCCAAGACAACAGATGATTTCCCTATGTGAGCAGAGAGAAAGGAAATGAGAAAAGGGGCCCAGGTTATGGGGACACAGCCCTTGGTACCCATAGAGAAGGCAGCCTGTCTCAGACTTGCCTTATCCTCTGTACTTTCCCCATATAAAGGAGGGTATTCTTTATGCAAAAGTGTACCCATTTCCAGACTCTGACAGTCCCCAGCTGACCACTGACTTAGTAACTTGAGAGGGGACTTGAGGACAGAAGAGGCTAAGGTCAGGACCTGCTCTGAATGGAAGCCAAGAGGGGGGTGGTGGAAGGAGCAGCTGTGGGAAGCACCATGTTTGGTATGATTGAAAGAATATGGATACACATTTGTGATTTGAGAGGTTTATAACATAGAGGGTGAAGTCATGAGAAATAAACACTCCTGTGAGAATGAGAATGTTTACAAAGCACAAATCATATGAAAGATGGAGATGACCCCTCCCCTGGTAACATATTGGGATCTTGTCCTCTGAGGGTACTTTAAAGTGTGTCTCAGGAGAGGAGTGACCATGTTCTCCACATGGGCTCATAGAATAGAAAATCAAAACAGATTGTGAAGATGCTCAAACCATGATGGGACACAACAATTTCACAGAGTTGGGGAAACCATCTGGTGAGGGCATGCACAGGGACCCAATGCTGAGGACTTGGGCCACAACTTCAGCAGACGTTACCTTCCCAGCTGCCATCACATCGTGGAACCCAAGGACAGGCTTACAGTGCCCCTGTTGCCCCAGTCCTGGGTGCCCTAACTGAGTTGAGGGGATGGGAGACCAGAATAGAACTCTCCCTGCTTCCAGCCCTTTGTGTCCTCTGCCCACTTCCCATAGAGAATGTGCCACATTTGGGCCTTCCTTAGGCTGGAACCTCATGGCCATACTCAGAATTTCCCAATGTGCCTCCTCACTGAGGACTGTCTCCAGCTGTCTCCACAGCTCTTGTGCTTCTCTACTAACAGGCACAGATGTGGTGAGGTGTCAGAACCCATCTTTAGTGAAAAGAGAAAATGGACAAAGGCCCCAATGCATCTTCCCCCAAGACTCTGAGTCATATTCAAGAATGTTGGTCTGTCTCTGACTTTATGTGTCTCTCCATCTCTGTCTCCCATTCCCAGCTCCTCCCTGTCTGTTGAGACTCTGCCCACACTTCTGGTGGGGAGGACACAGGCTCATTCTTTCTTGACCCATGATCTTGGTCTGCAGTTTCCAAATGTGCTATCTAATTTCCAGGTCTTAGCAGTAATAAAACTTTATTTTCCAAAATTCCTATGGTTGTAGCTGAAGGATAACTTGCAGTCATAATACGATCCACAAGGGTGGGCCCAGCCACCACATAGGTTATGGAGAGGCTGAAAGCTGCACAAAACATGAACTTTGGTTCCTGAAGGGGTAATTTGTCTCCTAGTATATGCAATCCTTAGCTTCATTGTTCAATTCAGGCACATCTCAGGAACATCAAAATTATTTATCACTCACTGCATCAGACACAGTCCATCAACTGGAGAAAGATGCTCAAGCACAGTTTCTTTTATCCCTGGACATACAATTTCCCTTCTTTTTCAAAATCCTTTGGGTCATGATCCCTTTACCCCACCCTGTCATTTAGGAGGCTCCCTACTGTCATAGAGGAGCGAATGGGATGATGTCACACTGTTCACTCCATCACGGATTCCAGGCTTCCTAGATGACTTTGTGTGCATGCACTAATATGTCGCCACTGAGTTGCAGATTTTACTGGCTGTGAAAACAGAGCAGTGTGATGTGGCCACCATAACAGCATCCTGTGGCCACTACAACAGCAACAAAAGAGTGAACCCACCATGAATACCATGAATACTGTTCATCCTCCTGCATATTCATCCTCCTGCTCCTTCTTCCACCTCGTCTCCATTAATGACCTTTTAAGCACCTCTAGATTTGTGCCTCTTGTAAAATGTATTTAAATTATATTAAATATAGCACTTTAAATATTCTTTTTTCTAAAGAAATATGTATTTAAAATGCATGTATACTACTATGACTTCACAGGTCATTCATTTTACTTATTTCTTGTCTGAGCTTTTTTGTGTTTTACTTTCTAATTTTTAATTTAAATTCTAGTTAAAATATATGGTAAAATTGGTTTCAGATCTAGAATTTAATGACTTGTCACTAACATGTAACACCCTCTGCTTATCACAGGTGCCCTCCTTAACAGCCATCACACATTTAGCCCACACCCCACCCACCTCTTCCATCAACCCAGCGTTAATTCTCAATATTTAAGAGACTCTTATGGGTTGCTTCCCCCTCTCTATTTTTTTTATTCCTTCCCATATAATCCCCTGTTTAGTTTCTTAAATTCCACTTATCAGGGAAATCATACAGAAATTGTCTTTCTCTAACTTATTTTTCTTAGCCAGTCACCTGAGCAGAGAGTGGGGAGGGTGATGAATAGATGGTTCCTGGCCATGGTGGATATACCCTGGCTCTAATTCTGAGGTCACAAGTGAGAGTACTATGCAAAGTCTTTCTTATCCTCTCACTTTCTGGAAGAGCAGAGAGGAATCCTTCATGCAAATCATTCCCTCCCCTGGGGCCCCTTTTCATGAATTTGGGGACAGTGCAGTGTGGGGAAGGGCTGGGGAACCTTTCTTGGGCCCCAGTGAGCACAGAACAGAGGGCAAAAGGCAAGGTTCCAGGCCTGGGTGCCCAGGTGATTCCTCACCCCACCTCCCAAAACCACAGGGACAAGCCCATAGAACCCCCTTCTGCCTCAGAGCCCAGACTCACCACTGACTTGGAGGGATATCCTGGAGTTGCGTAGAGTGAGGAACACTCCGGACTTCAGCCTGCCTGGCTCACCACCCACCTCCACATATGGTCATGGGTTTCTCATTCCCCGAGGGCCCCTCTATGTGCTGCAGGTGCCACACCCAAGTCCTTGTTTCAGAGACATGTCCTCCTCAACATGAATCACCCTCTGCTCCTTCTGCTACTTATATAGTTATGTTTTGGGGGCCAGAGATGAGTGGACCCCAGGAAGGATATATCCTACACACAGTGAGACAGGTAAAGGGCATAGTCCCTTTATAGCATCTTTGGCAGTGGGGGGGGGCTGCTTTAGGAGAAAGCCAACCTCTCTGTCTCATATCAGGACACTTCCAACCTAGCTGATGAACCCGCATAACCTTCTATTCTGTTCTTTTTGGCTCAGAGTTCATTAATAAGAGTGTGCAGGGAGTTCTTTAAGGAGAGACCAGAATTATAAAAAAAAGTGACTTCTGCCTCAGGATTTCATAGCAGGGCTGGAGCTTTCCCCTTTCCCCACAAGCACCACTGAGAGATCTGTGAACAGAGATGGTACCAGTATATGGTATAGCTGCCAACAATGAAGCCACTGCTCAAGGTGCAGGTGAGTCTGGCTGTTGTTTCCAGAGATGCAGAGAGTGAGGGTGGCTGGGTCAGCACAGGCTGGGACAAAGATCCTGCAAATACAGACACTCATGGGTGATGGATTATAAGTGGGAAAAACAAAACAAACAAACAAACAAACAAACACAGAAACCAAAAGCCTCAGGGGGAAACAAGATGGCTGGGAAGTAGGAGGAGGCGCCCTTTCAACCTGTACCCTAAAGTGAGCTGATTACCTTCCAAAGAACTCCGATCATCCACGAAATCAGCCTGAGATCAGAATTATACACGTCTGAATCTCTACAAGAGCAGAAGTCGCTAATGGGCAGGTAAAGAGGAGTGGGAACGTCGGACTGATATGGGAAGATAAACAAAATGGGGAGGGAGCCATCAGAGGCAACCCACTGGAAAGTAATATCCCAATAGGAGAGTGCCCTGCTTCTGGGGACTAGCATTAACTCGGAGTCTTGTAGAAAGCACTCAAAAAGAGCAAAGGATTATGGAGGGAAATTGTGGGAATTGGGGCTTAAGTCCCCAGACCCAGGACAGCCACCCCTGGCGCAGAGCCAGAGAGAGTGCAGTGGAGAAACCATGTCTGGTCCCTGAGCCATCAGCGCACCTGAGAGCGCCTGGGGTCTGGCTCCTGTGAGGAGCTAGGAGCCTCACCAGCCCACAGAAACACAGCCTTTTTGCAGTCCCCATGAGAGTGCCTTGCCCTGCTGTCAGAGTCTGAGTCTCGCCCCCCGCCCTCCCCTGAGAGAGGTGCGCACAGGCACCAGTGCTCTCGGACCAGAAAGACCAGGGACACCCAGCCTGGGCCAGTGGGAAAATCTCAGTGTGCTATGGCTGCTTGGAACCTCTCTGGCAGTCTGGAGCTTCCCAGACAGCCGCCACTGCCATGGTTTTGGGTAAAAGCAAAAGATCCTGCGTCCCCCGGGACCGAGACTTGCAACCTGCTCTGCCAGAATCCAAGGGGGAACTTATTTGGGACCCACAGCCAGACTGAGGCTTCTCTCTGAGAGGGAGGTCAGCGTGCAGGTTGCTATCCTCTAACCCTACAAAAACCATCAAAAGCGGTCAAGGCGAGAGAAAAAAAAAAGCGAACAAACATAAAAATCTCCAGAGAACAAAAGCCTGAAAAAAACGGTTTCCCCAGAGCCCACCCCCTTGAAGGGGGTGGGAGGACTTAACTCAGAGAACATCATTGACTGAAAACACACCTGGCCAGGCCCCTCGCCCAGAAAACAAACCAGGAAAGAAAAAAAAAAAAAAAGACCACAAGAGAACAATCACCACTACTTCATAGGACAACTTTTATTTTTAACCAGTTCCCACTATTCTGGCTCATTTTTCTTTAATATAGGTAATTGTTTAACCTATTTACCATCACAGTGAGATGTCCAGTACATCAAATTCCATAATAACCTTCTAACCTGAACTTTTTGATACATACACCTGTGTTTTTCTTTTGCATTTCTATTTA